CATGTACCAGTACAGGTTGGGGCTGACCTGCTGGAGAGCAGTGTAGGAGAAAGGGACCTGGGGGTCCTGGTAGACACGAGGATGACCATGAGCCAGCAATGTGCCCTTGTGGCCAAGAAGGCCAATGGCATCCTGGGGTGCATTAGAAAGGGTGTGGTTAGTAGGTCAAGGGGAGTTCTCCCCCTCTCTTCTGCCTTGGTGAGGCTGTATCTGGAATGTTGTGTCCCAGTTCTGGACCCCTCAGTTCAAGAAGGACAGGAAACTGCTTGAAAGAGTCCAGCACAGAGCCGCAAAGATGGTGAAGGGACTGGAACATCTCCCTGATGAGGAAAGGCTGAGGGAGCTGGGTCTCTTTAGCTTGGAGAAAAGGAGACTGAGGGGTGACCTCATCCATGTTTACAAATATGTAAGGGGTGAGTGTCAGGACAGAACCAGGCTTTGTTCAGTGATGTCCAGTGATAGGACAAGGGGCAGTGGGTGCAAACTGGAGCACAGGAGGTTCCATGTGAATCTCAGGAAGAACTTCTTTGCTGTGAGAGTGACAGAGCCCTGGGACAGGCTGCCCAGAGAGGCTGTGGAGTCTCCTTCTCTGGAGACTTTCCAACCCCCCTGGCCACGTTCCTGTGTGATGTGCTCTGGGTGCCCCTGCTCTGGCAGGGGGGGTGGACTGGATGGGCTTCCCAGGGCCCTTCCAACCCCTGGGATTCTGTGGTTCTGTGACCTGCGTTGTGACCTTCTTTCCTCCCCTTTTTGATCCGTACCAGATTCTAGAGAACACCCCAGAGAGCCACCCCGACCACAGCACCCTGAGGCTGGCCCTGGAGCGCGCCGAGGAGCTCTGCTCTCAGGTGAACGAAGGGGTGCGCGAGAAGGAGAACTCGGACAGGCTGGAATGGATTCAGTCCCATGTCCAGTGCGAGGGTCTTTCTGAGGTAACCACGAGGATCCTTCTGCAGCAGAGACTTCTCTGAGTCAGTTCAGAAAGTCTGGGGGGGGGAGAGGGGAATGGGAGTCCTTGCTCACATCTGTTACTGCAATGAGATCCACTGCTGAGCTCTTAGCACAGAAGCTTTTCTTAAATTCTGCTTCCAGCCATAGTGTGACAAGATCTTGTTGGTTTTGCATCATTTTGGCAGTGGAGAAATCTTGGTTGATCAGCTTAAAACTGATACCTTTAAAACGGTCAGATGAACAGAAATAACTCAGATCAAGTTCTGCTCGTGCTGCCTCTGGGCTAAGTCAGGTGTTACTATGTGGAGTTTCACTGAGTGTGTTTCCCAGGGTTTTCCTTCACACAGAAAGGGCACAGAAACCCTCACTTCCAGATCCTCAAAGGTACGTGGGGTTCAGACTCCTGTACCTTTCAGGACAGCCTTCAAAATGAGATGTTGTGACAGTTTTTCACTGGCTGTGTATCTAACCAGGGCTTGACAGGCCCAGAGGGGTCTGTCCTAGTTCCATCATCTAGTTGTGCACCTGTAAGAGGTGGCCTGACTGCAGACACTGCAGGCTCTGCTGAAACAGCTTCTGGACAGCAGAGAGGTGGCCATGAGATAAACACCTTCATCAGCTCCAACTCCTGTGTATGGTGAGGCTTAAATCTCCTTGACGTTAGCAGTCGTGTTGATACCGTGGCAGATCATAACACAGTTTCCCTTCTCTTTGTTTGGAACTGAATTAATTAAACCAAACGGAAGAGGATTTTGAGCAGCTTGAGCAGTCTTCACAGTGAAGAGGAGGAGGAACTGGTGTCTGAATTAAGTCTCTGCTACTAATGGGTTTTGTCTCTCCTAGCAACCGGTGTTCAACTCCCTCACAAACTGCTTGGGACCACGGAAGCTGCTGCACAGTGGCAAGCTCTACAAGGCCAAGAGCAGTAAGGAGCTGTATGGCTTCCTTTTCAATGACTTCCTCCTGCTCACCTACATGGTTAAACAGTTTGTCTCTTCTGGCTCTGATAAACTGTTCAGCCCCAAATCCAACTCCCAGTTCAAAATGTACAAAATGGTGAGTGAGTCAAGGTGCCCATAGTCATGTTGATCCAGTGGGACCTGGTTTCTGGTGAGGAATGCTCTTCTCCCTGCTGGGATTGGCCATCTGGTCCCATCTCATGGCTTGTTGTCATGTGGGTGTGTACTGGCAGCCAATGTGCATGGATGCCATTGGCTTAGTTGCTGGAAAAGGACAGGGTTCTGTGTCTGGGTTTAATGAACACTTTTGTCCTCTCTGGAGTGAAAGGTCAGAAATAACATCGTGCCTGAGCAGATGAGTGGGATGTTCAGAAGCAGGAGCTTTAACTTGATTTTGCACAAATTTCTGCACCCACAAGAGAGTACTTGTCCTTCTTTAGAAAACAGTAAAAGGTGCAAAACTTCAGTCTCTGTGTCCAGACAGGGCATGTTCTCAGCACTTTGGAGTTGCAGAGATAAGCTGAAGTATCCAGGCTGCTTTCTGACAGAGAACCTGGGAGATTCCCAGGATTTCTGAGTTCCACACTGCAGGTTTGCTTACACAGTCCTGCCCCTTTCACCAAGCTCTTCATCCCAGAAGACAGAACGGGATGTACTGCCAGAGTAGTTTTTTCTTTAGTCCTTTCTCACATTCTTTATACAGGGATCTGGTTGTTCATCCCATGTCCTACAACTTCCATTTTCCGTACAATAAAGCGATGTACTGAAACATCCTTGTAGAGTTTCTGTTTATTGTCAGGGTGACGCTGCCACAATGGTGTTTGCTTTTCTTTCAGCCTGTTTTCCTCAATGAAGTCCTAGTGAAGCTGCCCACAGACCCTTCAAGTGATGAGCCAGTTTTCCACATATCACACATTGACAGAGTTTACACACTTAAAACTGACAACATTAATGAGCGGTGAGTAGTGAAAATACAGATCTGAGCTGCAACGTGTTGATGGTGCCTGTTGGCTGTGTTTCCAGTCAGCAGACAAGAGGGTCTCTGAGTTCAAGAACAGGGTTTAGTCTGTCAGTCAGGAAATAAACTCATTTAACTATCATTTGAATTACAAGTTTTCTCTGATTTTGTTCAGCTTATGCAAGAAATCCAGAGTCACATCTCATGCTCCTCCATGTTGCAGTCCTATAGGAGAACAGTTTAGGGCTGCAAAGTCCAGGGTCCCATAGGATACTTCCTGTAGGATTCTCTCCCAATCCTGGCCAGTGTTTAATGTGCCCCAGAAGTCTTTAATAAAACAAGGGCTGCACTTTCATTTATTTAGGCTGATGTAGAAATGTGGCCTAAGATTAAATAAAAAAACTCCATTGCTTTTAATCCTTGGACTAACTTGATTTGTGATGGCTCTGAAACCCAGTGTGGGGGGGTGGAAGTGGCAAAAATGATTGGGGTAGAGTCACTGATACTGAGGAATTTCCTGCCCATGGTGTGACCCTGACCATAGGGATTGCTTTTTGCAGCACTGCCTGGGTCCAGAAAATCAAAGCAGCATCAGAGCAGTACATTGACACTGAGAAGAAGAAACGTGAAAAGGCTTATCAAGGTACCCACTGAGTTTTGTACTTCCCTCCCATCCACCTGCACACGTGGGCAGGGTCTTTTCTGGGGGATGCCCCAGTGGCTGTGTAGGATCTCCCTCATCAGATCTATTGCCAGTTTTTAACCAATCTGTTTATTTTTTGCCTGCTTTGTTCCCAGCTCGCTCCCAGAAGACCTCAGGAATAGGACGCCTGATGGTGCACGTGATTGAAGCCACAGAGCTGAAGGCCTGTAAGCCCAATGGTGAGTGAAGGATGTTGTGTTGAATCCCTTTTATTCCTGGATCATTTGGAAAGGCTTGCTGTGAGAAGCTTGGTGGTTTGGAAAACACAGTGGTTTCAGCTAGAGCTTCTGAACGAGTTGGCCATTACTCTGAATGAGTTAGCTCCTGCAGAGGACTGAGTGAAGAGCCAGCTCTGTGCTGCTCTAGGAGATCAGGATTGCCTGGCCTACATCACCTGACAGCAGCATCGATGTGTGTCCAAGCACCCTCCAGAGGGGGAGGGAGGTTTCTGCACTGCAGAGGTGTTTCACTGCTTGTTCTGTGTTTAGGGAAGAGCAACCCTTACTGTGAAATCAGCATGGGCTCTCAGAGCTACACTACCAGGACCATGCAGGACACCTTGAACCCCAAGTGGAACTTCAACTGCCAGTTCTTCATTAAGGATCTGTACCAGGATGTCCTGTGTATCACCATGTTTGACAGAGATCAGTTCTCACCCGATGGTAAGTGGGAACATGTTTTAGGAAGAGAGTGGGGTTTTTTGTGACTTGGGGTACACAGCTTCTCACCAGCAGTTTCAAGAGCCTGTAGGTATGACTGCTGCTTGGGAAATGCTGTGTACAAACAATGCTTCCTTGCTCAAAAGGTTCAGTAGCCTTCCAGAGCCAACAGCTCTGGGTAGTCAGGCTTGATCTCACTCTGGCTTTTCTATCAGACACAATTATTTTTTTGTCAGACTGGGGAGACAGAGTTGAAATCAAAAGATTTTCTTTCTCACTATAGGTGCCTGAAAATGAGATGCTAGATTATATTTGCACAGCAACAGTTTGATAAGCTTTTTATTTTTCTTTTGCTTGGAAACTGAACACGTTCTTGGCAGTCAGTAGCTTCTGGTCCTCTTTAAAAGGTTAAGTGCTTTTTCAGGGCTCTGACACCCAGTCGATTATTGACTTGAGCTGCCCTGTGTGTAATTATAGCTCAGCCTTTCCTCCTGTGAGGTAACATGAGTTTGTTGGGCTGCTTCTCCCTGTTGGGCAGCTGAGTCTGTTGTTTCTCCAGTTCCTGGTAAACATTTCAATGCACACACACCCAAAGGTGTCCACGAAATGGCCACAAAGAAGGTATATAATTTCTGAATAGGACTGTAATCCTACTAGTGGCAGTAATCAATAGTTAAAGGTCATTGTTCTTGTGACAAGAATGATATATAAGCCTAAAGAGAAGCTGAGCCAAAATAGTTGATTTTTTCAAGTGTGTTCATTGTACTGTTGGTTTGTGAACAGGTTCCATCACTTATCCCCAGCCTTCCAGCTCTAAGCCAGAGAACTTTAAATTGTGTTTCTGACACAGAACTGTTATGTTGAAGTTCTCAGATCAAACTGTGACATAGAGACATGTTTCCATCCTAATTCCATAGCACTTTTCTCTTCTGAGCAGCTCCTTTTTGGTCACTGCCAGCTGAGGTGCACTAGGCTGAGAGGACTGGGCAAACAGGGAGCTTGGGAGCAACGCTGTGGAGCTGAGCACACCCCATGTACTGTTGCTGCCTAACCTGACACACTCAGATTTTTCTAAGCTTAACGTCTTTGCTTAATGAAATTTCCTGTTCCTTTGCCCAACAGATTTTTTGGGTCGCACTGAAGTCCCAGTAGCAAAAATCAGAACAGAACAAGAAAGCAAAGGCCCCACAACTAAACACTTGCTGCTGCATGAAGTTCCAACAGGTGAAGTCTGGGTCCGTTTTGACCTGCAGCTCTTTGATCAGAAACCACTCCTCTAAGAAGACACTCCTCTAAGAACACATTTTTTTTTTAATTTATGAAGGACAACTGAAGCTGACACACAGCCTGACCGTTTTTTTGGTAGATTTCTTGCCCCCTGCTGGTTGTTAGGCACGAGTTCCTGCTGCTCCCGTATTTCCTCCTAGTTACCAGTTGCGTTTAGTTCCTTGAACGTTCAAAGTTGTTGATCTATGCAAACACAAGTGTTACTGTATGTACAGTACTGTAGCTCAGTGCCTTTTTATTATTACGTTGGAATATCTTGGGTTTGGATGCCAATGTTTCCATTTTCAGGGCCAGAAGGAAGTATTAAGTAGAAATGTGGCATCAAGATGTATGTATATTTTACCACTTAGTCTAAGATACAGACTGAGGAATGGTTTAGCTCAGCACTAGAATCATTCCATTTGAAACCTGAAAAGTGATATCCACTGGAATCTTCCCATCTCAGGATGATAGTTTTAAAGATTAAATGCTTAAAAAGCCTTAGGTAGCACTGGAAAAATCTCTGATATATTGTATATTCTTAAAGATATCAAGTGTAGTTCTTTACTTGACTTAGCTCTGCACTGAAATCAGTAACTGCTACTTGATTTTCTTTCTGCTTCAGTTTGAGTCATCATTCTCTGCTGAGACAACGTGGTTGTGAAGCATAACTAGAAAAAAAATATATTTTAAATACTGTGACCCACAATAATGTGGAAAAATAGTCTTCAGCTTTTGGGTTTGTTTTTTTTCCTAAATATAAGTTATTTGTGTACATTTCCTTGGTCTTGCCAGGCCTCCATGTGAATCTTGAAGCTTTGACATTGCCAACTTGTATATAGAGAGTAAAATATAAGTTTATTAATGTAATTTGTCTACAGATGTTTATTGCTGCATAGTGGTTTTTATAAAAGTATATTTTCTTGTACAGGGTAATGTGAAATAATGAGAAAAACTTGCAGGATTAAATTCAAGAAAAGTTTATTACAAGCTTAAGAAGTTTCCTCAGGGGAGCTGCCACCTCAGCGCGGATCTGTGAAATGCGATGGGTTGAGAGCAAAAATCTTCTCTGGGCATCAAAAAGAGAGATGGTCTCCAAAAAATGTTTTTGTTTCCAATGGGTTTGATATATTGCAACCATTTTATTGCCTCCTGAAGTAAAATGCTTTGTTGAACAGGCAGGGCATGGTTTCCACGGGTGCAGTGATACTGACGGTGTCACGGCGATTGCCACCTGTGCAGCCTCCTGGCACGGGGCTGAGCCAACCCCCTCTGTTAGTGCTAACAGTTTCCTGTGGTTCAGTATTTCTAATCCTAAATAAAACTAAATCTTGGCAACTCTCGAGAGGTTGTGTCTGTACAGGGGGAGTTTGGAGCTTCCTGAACTTGCAGAGAGAAAATTCTCCTCTCAGGCTGTCACACCAGAGCTGCTGTGCCAGGGACAGAGGAACGACGCTGGCACCAGACACAAGCCCCTCTCTAGGGCACCAGCAGCATCTGCTGCTCAGCTCTGGCTCTCCCACAAGTGCCAGACATTTTGTACAACAGCACTTACCCTCTCCTCTTCCCTAATCATGTCCTGCCTTCTCAGAACACTCCATTTGGATGTTGAACTTGACTTACTGCTGACAGCCTGCCTCCAGGAGAGAGTCCTTTGACAACCTCTTAGCAGCCAAACATGATTTTGCACAAATAATATTTCTCAGGACATTCACTGTGGGGGTGCTGGTCAAGTTTTGGATAACCAAAACCAAATTGTTATTTCCTAATCAGTGCTTCCTAAGCTGCTCTTCTGTACACATCCGCTGCCCACACACACCACCAGGAGCACCTCCTCCTCATTCAAAGAGAGGGTTTGTTCTTCAATCTCAAGGTGACCTGATGCAAAATTGCAACATCTGTAGCTAAAATTCTGCAAGGTTTGCCATGCCCTCTGCCTGCTGCTTCACATGTCTTGTAACATGAAATAGAGCAGACTCAGAACAGGGCATAACATACAAGTCCTGCCCTGCACAGAAGAGGGGCCAACCAGACTTTCTTCTAACTTTTCTCACCAGTTCATCTTTTTCAATCCAAAGATTCCACCACTCTGTAAACCAGAGAACATCAGCACTGTCTTTGTAGAGCTGAGCCTAAGTTAAACCCCCTAAAGTAGCAGGTTTGGGCATGTAGGGCTGGGAATAACAGGAACAGCATCTCACACACCTCTTTGGCTGCTGGGTAACTGTACTTCAGAGCCACAGGTTTGAGCCAATGAGTTTATTGCAGTTTGCCAGCAGTCCTGGCCTGTTACCACTTCCTTTGGCAGAAGATGTAACATATGCTGTGCCTGCTGCTGCAGTCAGCTGGAGGGCAGGTGACATTCCTGGCTCTCACCATCTTTGTGGTGCCCACACATGACTTTCTGCCTGCAAGCAGAAGAAAGAACAGTTGCCAGCCTGTGCAGCCTGATGGCTGCTGTAGCCCAGCACAGCTTCCTGCACCAGCTCCTTCCCACACTGAGACACTCCAGGAAATGTTTGTGACCAGTTTTCCTTCTAGAAGGTGCCATTGTCCCGTAACTGCTGTAAACATGCTGGAGTAAAGGCTTGGGCCAGGCAAAGGCATAAAACTGGCTCTAGCTGGCTCTGCTCCAGCAAGAGGTTGGACAACTTGACTTCCAGAGGTCCCTTCCAACCTCAACCATTCTGTGATACAGGTATAACCTCACTCTGCTGCCAAAATCTAGACACTAATAGGAAAAAAAAACCCCACCCCAAAACACAAAGCAAGTATGAACATTAAATCCTCTCAGATCCTTCAGTAAAGCACCCAGGGGACACTCTATGGCCTGAGGTATAGGGCTGGCTGACAGGCTGTGTGCAGAACACACAGGAGACCCCCCCACCACAAACCACTTTATTTCAAGGCTCAGCTTGACCATCAGTGCTCCACTTCAATACATCCTGCTGTTCACGCTGCACCTGAAGACTCTCCCTTCACCAACACCCCCTTCCCAGGAGACATACACAACAAAGCAGAATCCACCACGACATGCAAGTTGTAGCAAACGCTGCTGCACAGCCCAGCACTGCCTCTCAACACACAAACTCACCTCTTGGTGCGGTGAACCTCACTGGCAATGTAGGCCTGTGGGATCTTCAGCCACTTGGCTGCATCCAGCAGCTGCCTGCTCAGGGGGAGCAGCGGCAGCTCCAAGAGCTCCTTCAGCTCCCTGCTGGAGCACGGTCTGCCTGGTGGGAAAGCAACGAGTGCCCCGTGTGAGCACGGGCTGTCACACACCAGGAGAGCCCCCCCCAGGATGAAGCACTCCCCAGGGACACCGGTTGCTTCAAATACCTGTCTCACACTGCTTGATAACGCCAGCCTCAGCAAACCTCCTTTGAATGCTGAATAACAGAGGATCCTGGAATGCTGGTACTGAAACCTGTGACAGAGACAGTCATTTCAGGCTTACGCAGCAACACAAGCACGTTGTCGGAGCCTCCCAAGTCCAAAGCCAGAGGTGAATGCCCAGGTGCTGCTGGTTAGCAGGGAAGGAGCACCAGCCCCATTTTTCGTGGATAAAATCACGAGGCACAGACTGGAGGGGCCTGAGCAAGGCTCTGGGCCCTCAAGGCAGGGCATAAGGCTTTCAACACTGCTGCAAAGTTAGACCACGGACATGGGATCAACACACCCAGCTTGCATGGGAACTCACCAGCCCTTGCTACTTCCCACCCTGCCACAATGAATTTGAGATGAGGAAAAACAAACCTGCCCCCTGCCATTGCCCACTGTGCCTCCAAATCTGGGCTTAGTATGGATCCAAGCCATGTTCCCAGCTAAAACCATTTGCAGACACTCTTCAGGTTAAATGCAGGAGGAGGTGGGACCCATACTGATGCAGTTCATGAAACTAGAATGTATTGCTCTGCACCAGCCCCACAGCAGCACATCAGTAAGACTCTCCACCTCTAACCATTAACTTCCTGCAGGTCAAAGGATGCTTCTAAACCCCACAGCAGAAATAACCATCATACCTTCCAGCAGTCTGTCTGTGTCTTCAGGAAGCATGGATCATACTCTGATGGGTTATAATGTTCCAAAGTCAGATAGCCCTGCAGGAGAAGCAGGTAGAAGGTCAGACCTCAGAAGCTGCTGGTGATACAACAGTGAGAGAGCAGCCAGCCCAGGTATCACACCGACAGGCAGGGTATGAACACATCACCAGAGGTGGTGTAGAAAAGGACTCCTGAATTTTCACACACTGCACCTCAGAAGGAAGGTGACTGAAGTGTAACTGGAAAGTTCCTCCATCCATTTCAATTTATCAGAGGCATAAATACGTGATAAGAGTGAGCTGAGGGAAAGACTGAAATGAAGGAACCTGGAAGGATAGGAGAAAGCATCAGAGGGGAGGAGGAGAATGGAGGAAAGGGGAAGAGGGCAGCTTTGGAAAGAAAAGGACAGTGGAGAACTTGGAGGAATCATCAGAAGCAACAGGGAGAGGGAAACACAACAATGGAGAGTCTGACAAAAGAAAGAGAGGCAAAAGAGTGGGAAACAGGGATGGAGTGAAAGAGTTGACTGGAAAGAGAGAGAAAGCAAGAGGAGAGACTAGAGGAAGAATAGGTACAGAGAGGGGAAATGGACCAGTGACAGACATGGGAAGGTGAGGAGATCTGGGGAACAGAACAAAGAGAAGCCTAATAGCACAGCAGAGAGCAGGACAAAAAGATGAGGAAAAGCACAAAAACACAGCTAGAATTCAGTATATTAGCCAATCCACATAAGTGTCTTAAGTGCTGCAAAATTTATCATATGCTGCCACAATTAATGCAAACTTATGCAAATTAATGTTCCTGTTATTCTGAAGGGCTTCAGCCTGCTTTTCAGACATGCTGATGATAGGGCTGACACACAGAGCAAGGAGAAAAGGTGGAGGCTGGTCATGGGTTCTGTGCTTGCTCAGGGAGAAGGACACAGCCAAGTACACCAGCCAGTGCTTTTGGAGGACACCCAGCAAAGCCCTGACTCGACACTGAAGTTTGGAAGATGGCCCTGATGCAGACCCAGACATGGACAGTACACCCAGCATGTCCTAAATCCCAGGACTTCCTTCAGCTGGTTCAGCTCTTTGTCAGTACATGGAGTTTGAATGCATGGGTCTTTCACATCAGATGATTTGGCCTCATTAAAACAACAGAGCTCCCATGCCATCTTATTTTCTGGATCAGAAGCTTGTTTATAGTTGCACAACCCCACTGTGCAGTGGTTTCCACTGACAACAAAAGCCTGCTCTCTGTAAAAAACAATACTCCACTTGTGGCAGATGTAATTGCTCCTATTGCTCTATATATCCACTCCTGAGATGCAGAAACTTGAGTCATGTGATCTGATTCTCAACACCAGTGTGAAACTCAGAGCAAAACCAACAAAACCAGCAAATATTTCCTACAGTGACTGCAAATTGACTAGGAATCTGTATTCAGACCCCAGCATGAGCTCCCTGCAGCAAATGATGCTGTTGTTCATATCTGATGCTGAAGTTGAACAAGCAGCTGTAATGAATTGTGTCACCATTACACAAGTCTTTGTGAGGAATAAGTTACAGGTAAAGCATGTCTGAACTGCAGGCAACTCAACTGAACAGCAGTAACAGCTAAGACCCTGATCTTGTCCACAACCCTCTGTATGCAAGCTGCTCTGTGACAGAAATTTACTTCTTGCAAATACCTTTCTTTTATTATAGTAGTTTAAATAGAGAGAGAGTTGCTCTTCTTTCCTTTTTCGTATTTCTTCACTTGACTGGCTGTCCATTTTCTCCATAATTCTCTGCAGCAGGGGCTCTGAAACATTCTCCAGCCATTTCTTGTACAGCATCTCCTTCTTTCTCAGATTTAAGAAATCATTGTGCCTCAAATACCTCTCCACCTCCTGGGTAAGGAAAAGAAAACCCAGACAACCTATTGGCCACCCATGTCAAAGAGCCCATGGGTGAATCTGTGTGGCTGAGCTGACCTGCTCTGCCTGGTCACTGCTGCAGGTGCCCTGTTTTCCAGCCCTTCTTCCTCATTCTCCCTGTCTCCCATTCCCCCCACTTGGCTCCAAGCTCTCCCTTGCCCAGGCTCTGACATTCAGACCCTATATTTTATAAGCTGTAGCACAAAACTGGCAGAAAATCATTCACTTTTCCCCACCAGGTTAGTGAGCTGAAATCACTTCAGAGTGGGGGTCTGATAAGCACCAGGCTGTGCAAGACAGGCAGCAGGAGATGAACCTTCTCCTTGCAGCACTGGCAATCTGCTAGATCAGATCTCCTGCTCTTTATTCATAGGCCCATCACCATCTAATCACACCCAGAAAATGAATGTCAGGTGCAAACAGGCAGGTAAGACACCAAAGACAGATGACTAGAAATTCATATTTAGAGTTACCACTTCAGTCCTATCCCGAGGAGACCAGAAACTTTTCCTTCTAAATTTAGCTATCCAAGAACACAGACAAATGACATTTTCTCATGAACCCCCCCACTGCAGGTTTGCAGCCAAACTAACATGATATGGAGAGCAGAAGGCTGACTAGCATTTATTGTCCAGAATTCCAAGGAGTGTAGACATGCTTGCAGGATAGACCACTGATAGTTCTACCCTACTGAGAGAATTATCTGTAGTTGTTTTTTTTCTTGTGGAGTTACATCCTACCTTCTACCACACAAGTGCTATAAAACCCAGGCATCTGGAAGACCTGTCATAGTATCTGGAAGGCCTGTTTTACCCTATGCCAGGGACACTTTGATGGAGAGAGGGGAAAAAAAAAAAAAAAAAGACATCAGGAAAGCACACAGCAAATAAGGAAGAGATAGCACTGCTTACCCTCCCAAAGTGGTACTGTCTGTCCAAGACGCACTGAGCAGCAGCAATGACATCTTGACTTTCATCAGGTGCTGCCTAACAAAACATCAACAAACACATGCAGTACAGGCAGGACTTAAGCAGGAGTTAGAGCTACCTCTGAATTCAAAATAATGACTTGTGGTGTGATTAAAGGCACATTATACCATAACCCAGCTGATAGAACAGCACTGGCAGGCAAATCCTTGGGAGAGTTGCTCTGAATAGTTAGGTTAACTGTAGCAGGAGAAGTGTGTTGGAAGAACTGGAATGTACATGTTCAGGGAGTCCAGACCATCTAGGGGTAACCTGGGAACTCCCGACCTGTCAGCCTCACCTCTGTGCCTGGGAAGATCACCTGAGATGCACTGAGCTCTGCCTAGGAGAGAAGGAAGGTGCTGAGAGCTTATGGGTGAGAATTAAGGGGCAGGCTAGCATGGAGGGCACTCCTGTGGGTCAGGCCACCTGATGAGGTTGAAGATAAGGAGATGAAGATAAGGAGGTTCATGAGGCCTGTTACAGGCAGCTGAAAATAGCGTCACAATCACAGGCCCTGGTTCTCATGTGGGGCTTCAACCACCCTGATATTTGCTGGAAGGGCAGCACAGCCAGGCATGCATGGCCCAGGTTCCTGCAGAGCATTCATGACAACTTTCTGATGCAGCTGGTTGAGGAACCTATGAGGGGGTGTGACTTGGTTTTAACAAGCAAAGAAGGTCTTGTTGGGGATGTGATGGCTGGGGGCAAACTTGGCTGTAGTGACCACAAACTGGTGGAGTTCACTACAGCACTAGACTTCAGGAATGTAAAGTTCAGCCTCTTCAAAGATCTACTTGGTGAAATACAATGGACCAGGGCCCTGAGTGGATGTCCATGAGAGCTGGGAAACTATCAAACACTTTCAAGGACAGTGCCAGAAGCCTTGCTGAAGTCAAGGTAGATGACATCCACTGCTCTCCCCCCATCTAACCAGCCAATTACAACACCATCGTTTGCAATCAGATTGGTCAAGCACGATTTCCCTTTGGTGGTTCCATGCTGACCTCTCCCAATAACATTCTTTGCTTTCACTTGCTTTGGGATGACATCCAAAATGACTTTTTCTGACACCTTACTGGGGACAGAGGTGAGATGAACTGGCCTGTAGTTCCCTGGGTCTTCTTCTTGCCCTTTTTGAAGACTGGAGTGACATTAGCCATCCTCCAGTCCTCAGGCACCTCTCCAGTTCTCCATGACCTCTCAAAGATGATGGAGAGTGGCCTGGCAATAACCTCTGCCCACTTTGTAAGAACTTGTGGATGCATCCCATCAGGGCCCATGGGAGCTCATTTACACTCCAATATCCTGGGTTTCCCCTGAACTCTGGTTCTTCACAGTAGAATCTACAGCTGAAGGAGTGCAGAGAGTCACCCACCTGCCCAGGCCTTTGCTGATCATGTTCTCTCACAGGCCTTGGGCACCTAAGTCTGGGCAGCTGAGGACTCTGAGCTATGCACAGTGTGCACTGCTGGACTAGCATGGGAGGAACAATCCAACGTGCAAAAATGTATGGAAGAATTGTATAAACAGCAAAAAAACCCCTAGTTTTCTTACAATTCCCACCAAACAATGAAACAAATCTTGAGAGGAATTCTAACTGCTGATCCAGCAGCATTTTCCTGCCCCAGTAAAGTTAAACTGGCAGAGATGAAGCAGCAGGTTTACAGCCCAGTACTTCCCCTGACAGTAACTCACCTCCGTGAGCAACAGACAGTTCATTCTGTTTCAAAGAGCAAAGTGATTCACAAATTATTCCAGAATGCTTGTCAGCTTTGGAAACATTTCAAATTCCACCTCCTGACTCTTTTCCTTTGTGCCTTTTTCAGTTACATAAAAGCCACTTTCAAACAACCCCTGCATTCCACCTCTGGGATGGTTCCATGTGGGTCGGATTTAAAGTTACTTCTACCAGAGGAAGCTTGTGCTGATGCAGGGACTCTGAGCTCCAGCCAGAAAATTCCAGCTCCTCTACTGTAGGTGCCTCAGTGTATCTGGATCGATTTGTAAAACAGAGGGAGTAGAAGCACAGAGGCAGGATGCCCTCTGCAGGAGGCTCCACTGAAACCTCTGTTTATTCCAGATGACTGCAAAGATGCTGCTTCCAGGCAACAACCTGTTCACAGAATCACTTGGGTAAAGAGCAGAGCAAAAGAAAAGTTTACTTCTGCAGAGATAATGATCTCCATATTCTTCAGCCAGATCTTTCAGCTATGAAACAGTCCTGGTTTTCAATCTACTTAAAAGAATCTACAAAGACTCTCTGGATCAGGTATTTGCGTGACGTGGCAGCTTTTGCTTGTTGTAAGATGATTTCAGAGTTCATTCTGCCCAACCCAGCACTTCAGTGATGCTGTCTGACCCCCAGCTGACCTCTCTAGGCTGCAGATTCAAATCTCTTACCATTGGCTCAAGGTGAAGTCTTTCCAGCTTTGCTTCATTTCATACTCCCTGCTTTGATCAGGCCTGAGAATAACCCTGCCTAAAATTCCACACCTGCATCCCACTTGGCCATCAGCAGTACAGCTCTCTAGCAGGGATCTTTTGAAAGACAGGTTTCTCTTGCTTCACAAGTCCTGCCCAGTGAAGCACAACACCCACCTGCTACAACTCACACACAGTCTCTGCCCAAATACGAGTCACAGCAGGAGCTGTGAGGAGAGATTTGAGCATTTTCTGAGAGACAAAAAGTATCCTCACACATAGCTGAGCCCTCTCAACAGCCCCTTTCTGACAAAAGCCTTCACACAGGCTGTGCCTGCCCACCCCCCAGCACACAGAGATGTCCCACAGCCCATCCCCCAGCACACAGGGATGTCCCCATCACACAGGGATGTCCTCATCACACCCAGCACACAGGGATGTCCCCATCACCCCCCAGCACACAGGGATGTCCC